GACAGGAAGACCCAGGGGAAAAAAAGAGGTACAAATGTGGAAAGGGAAAAAACTAAAATGATCATTAAGGAGTTAGTTAGATTAACCTAGAGACACATCAATGTGAACTCATCACATTCAAAATATACACAGAATTCAGTACAGATGTGCATGTATGTGTAGACACATACACACAAATATACACATATTCCCTTAGCTAAATCCATGAAGATGACTTGAAAATGGTCTAGAAATAGCAAAAACTGTACCTAGCTGACCAAACTAAAGGAGACTATACTGGTCAAAATCAGGACAACGTGAACATCAAAACAATGACAACATTATGAACACTTAATGACATTGTACCAGAAAATAATTTAGATGGTATTTTTAATGTTACTTAAATTTTACCAAAATAAGAACAAAATAACGATAACAACACACTATAACCTACTAACTTCAATCCAATCTAACCGATTCAATCATAAAGAAATAGCACAAAAACCCACACAGAGAGACTCTGGAGTATAAATGGCCAATCATCTTCAAAAATTAAGTCAGACCAGCAGATGGTATGGTGGTTAAGGCGCGGGACCCTCACAAGGTCATCAGTATCCTCTAGCAAATTTAAAAATATCAATAAATAAAATTAAATAAAAGATCCTTTAAAAAAATTAAGGTCACACAAATAAACTCTGAAGAATTGTTACAGACTGAAAAAGAATAAAGATATATGACAACTAAATGCCACGCACAATTCACGCCAGGCCCTTGAGCATAAAAACATTATGTGCATAACTGCTAAAATCTCAGTGAAATTTCGGTAAACTTCCTGATTATGATGGAATAGGCTTCATGTGCTTATATAGAAGAATATCTCGCATTTTATAAAACAAAACAAATAGTAGTTTAGCAATTTACTCTCAAGCGATTCACGATAACATTCTCTGCACTATACTTGGAACATTTTAATAAATATGAGGGAGCTTCAAAAGGTGCAAAAATCGAATTGAAGTATGAGTTAATTTTGGTAGAAAAATTCTGAAAACCACACATAGCTCTTCATAATATTCATTTCCCATAAACCTTTTGAAGACCACTCATATGTGATTTCAAATTTTTCATCAAATAAATAATAACACATAGGCCTGCCCCATAATATACTTTTGCCAAGTGTTATTCTGAGAAAGTAAAAAAAAGATAGGTCATAAATAAAATCTCTTCTAAACTCACTGACAATGAACAAAGACAACACTGACACTCACAGTGTTAGTGTGATACTAAACTTTCCTAACATACACCTAGGCTCAATTTCTCAAGGGACAAAGTATATATACACACTTAGCCTTAGCTGAAGGAAAGCATATGCCTTAAAACAGAAATGTACTTACCCTGAGACACTGAAACACTAACTGTCTGTGATCCGTTCTTCTCTGTGTTTGCTGGTGGCTTTGCTACAGGAATTCCCAGACCTCCAATGTAAGGGTTGTAATTGTAGGTACCATAATCAGCACCCCAATAATCATACCATGTACTGCTTATTGGCTTAAAAAAAAAAAAATGAGAAAAAAAAAATGGGGCTTATTTTTGTCTCTTCACTGAGTAATGCACTGTTTACATTATCTAAATCCAAACAGAACCCTTAATATTCTCCCACCCTTTATGTTCTCATAATCTTAGTGATTTTTAAGAAAGCTTCATGGGCCACCAGTGGCATCATTAAGGAAGATAGATTCCCACATGGCTCTGGCGTAGTTTAAGCCCTGGACCAGACGGCTTTAGAAACATGCCAAATACATGTGCGTGCATGCCCAAAATCCCTGCTAGCAGGTTGAGTGGTGGTTACGGGCACCGGACTCACACATGACTGACTGCAGTTTGAGTCCCAGACCTGGGGGCTTGTTTTCTCAATTCCCAACCCTACCCTCTGTCCCTCTCTGGTGAAATTAAAATAAATAAATAAATAAAGTTAAATAAGATAATTCTTTTTTTAAAAATAAAAAATATAAAAGTAAGGAATGATCGGGACAGGCAGATGGTGTAATGGTTACAATCATTAGACTCCCACATGGCTGACCACAGTTCCAGTCCTGGACCCTGCAGACTGAAACTCACGCTGCTGCATGTGAGTGCATGCCCAAAATCCCAAGAGGAAAACAAAGGAGTAGGGATTGTGGTGAGGCCATCCCCCTGGGAGGGTGGGGGTAGGGGTTGATTTCTTTCTTTCTGTCTCTCTGTCTCTCCAGCAACTGTACAAGCCCTATAGCAAAAAAAATTTTCTCTAAAAATAAATAAATAATTTAAATTAAGGAAGATTCAGTAAGTCTTTTCATTTTCAGCAAAAATAATAAACCTTAATTGCTTAGAAATTAAGAGATTACTAAAATCAGTAATGAAATCTCTTATATACTAAAAGAATAATATCATTATAAACTATTCCAGATGTTATCTCTTTAGAAAAAGTAGAAGCTAACAAAGAAGTTCAATCTACAATAAACTTAGCTTGTATGACGTTTCTATGGCTACCTGAAATCCTGAAATGTTGATAATCCCTAATTACACTTATACATGTTAACCAGTGGTTCCTATTACTACACTTATAAAAATGGTATAGTATTTCATTTTATCTTATTAAAAACTACTATAGTACCTAGAGCACTTTAATGCATTTTAAGTACATTGAATAATGGTTGTATTTGGTGACAAATATGTGTATTTTCCTATTTTACAAAAATGTAAGATGAAAGAATACAATTGCAAAGAATATGCTAACGTATCATACCTTAAAAACCTTAGCTGCAAGAGGATCTTTTTCCAAATCAATATCTAGTGGATCAATATCAACTTCCATTAGATCCTGAAGAAGCTCAAGGTCAATTTCTTTATCTTTTTCCAAAGATGAAAGTGGAGGTGCACCTTGAAATAATTGAAAGTGATTTTATTAGTGGAGGAAACCACATAACACTAAACTGCTTTACTGCTTATATTCAATAGTTACAGAAAAAGTTATTTTACTTACATGTAACATACATGGGAGTACAGATTTTTTAAATCCATAAATTTTGGGGGATGGCAGGTGGTATGGTGGTTAAGGTGCTGGACCCCACATGACTGACTGTGGTTCAAGTTCTGAATCTTCCGGCTTGCTCTCTCACTCTTAACTTTAAATCATCAATAAAAATCCAAATGCATCACTCCATAAAACAATAAAAACACTAATGCTATGGTATTTGATTTCCTCTAGCTCTTACTGAATCAAGATGCCTATACTAACTACAACATGATACATGCTAGCAGAGATATTCGAGAATGTAAGGGGAACATAAATGGCAGTGTCTCCAACTGCGCTAATAATACTGACAGAAAATAGCTCTTGAAGGAGGGGATGCTGTATGCCAACATTAGATAAGGAGGAATTCATCATGCAAATGACAGGAGGAAATCCTTGCCAGATAAAGAGAGTGTCAGGTTAAAGAAAAGATGAGAACACACAGAACGTAAGATTAAGAAGTAACAAATTGTTAAGAAATAAATAAATAATTGAAAATTACCACAGAATCTGACAAATATAGGGCAAAAATCAAAACAGAGTTTTAGTTCTTATTTTAATTTTAGACAGAGTGTCACAATGTAGAAACCCTCCTGCCTCAGCATCCCAGCAAGGACTAAGGGTGCACACTACCATACTTAAAGCAGTTTTACACAGGGTCTCACTATGTTGCCCAGGGCAGCCTTCAGCTCAGGATGCTCATGCCTGTCTCAGTCTTTTGAGTTGCTGGATTACACACATGTCACCATGCCTAGTTATTTGGGTTGGAATGTGAATTAAACCAGGCTTCCATGTGATGCCAGCCTTAGGAGCACAGTGTCTTAGCAGTACATGCCACTGTTGCAAGGCCCCAAAACACAGTTTTGAAAAATAAGGGATAACCAAGTCATAACAAATTGGGCATGCTATCCTACAAAGATGGGTTTTTTTTAATAAGTCAATCAAAGAATGAAAAAAGTATTATAGCAAAAACAACTGGAAATTCTTTAAATAAAGAATTATTCATTCATTCATTCATTCATTTTTGCCTGGGGGTACAGAGTGAGAGAGCAAGCCGGAAGGTGACCTTGAACCACAGTCAGTCATGTGGGAGTCCAGCACCTTAACCACCATACCACCTGCCGTCCCCAAAACTGAATCTTAAATAATAAGAGCTTATAACATGTCATCAATACCATTACGTATCTTTTTTTTTTTTGGGGGGGGGGGGGACATGTTTTTGCTATAGGGCAAGTACACTTGCCAGAAAGACAGAGAGACAGAAAGCGAGAAATCACCTTCCAGGGGGGATGGCCATGCCACAATCCCTTCTCCTCCATTATCCTCTCGGGATCTTGGGCACACATGCACATGTGCCCGGCGTGATTTTAAGCCACTGCGTCTGGGACTAGAACCGCAGTTGACTATGTGAGAATCCAGCAACAAAGGCATTATACCAACTGCTGATCCCACCATTACATATCTTTAAATGTTTTTTACATTTTATGGTCTTTAAGATAGCCAAGACTATATCAAAATAATTACCACAATGAAATATCTCTTTCTTGTGACAAGTACTCATTCAGAGTAACAGTTAGACAAAATATATTTATCAGGAAAACAACTAAAGATAGAATAACCTAAAGAACAAACAAACAAAAAAAAACACACAAAGGAAAATAACTCATCTACTGCGTCATTGGAAAAGTCATGACATAATTTCTTTTTCTGTTTTTTAACACATTTAAAGACTTTTCAGACATAATAGTTTACAAGGCCACTGACTTAAGAGAAAGAAATGTAAAAATCCATTTTAAATTTCACTAATATTCACTACCATAGAACATTATTTTCATTTAATGTAAAGTAATAAAGGATATTTTAAAGAAACATAATTTGGGCCAGCAAGTAGTGCAGAGGTTAAGGCAGCTGGATCCCAAATGGCAAAATATGTGGTTCTAGTCCCAGAGCTGGCAGCTGAAAAACATACTGGGTGTACCCGCTTCAGCAGCACATACACTAAAATTAGAATGATACAGAGATTAGCATAGCTACTGCACAAGGATAACACACAAATTCGTGAAGTATTCCATATTTCTGCACTTCCTCCATGATATACAAATAGTCTAATTTCTGAATACTTGGGGATTTTCTAGTTATCTGTTATTGTTGTCTGGTTTAATTCTAGTATGCCTCAGTGAACATACTTTAAATCCATTCTTTTAAATGTGTTAAAGTTCATTTCATGACTCAAAGTATGTTCTATCTTGGTTAATGTTCTGTGTACATTTGAAAACAATGCACATTCTGCTGCTGTAAGGTGGAATGTTTTAAAAATGTTAATTATTTCAAGTTGGTTCATAGTGACATTTTATTTAAGTCCTCTATATCCTTCCTGATTTATGCCTTCTTATCAAGTACTAAAAAAGAAAAAAAAAAAAATTCTAGTTTAAAAAAAGAAAGAAAAGAAAAACACACTGGAGGGGTGGCCAGCAGATGGTGTGATGGTTGGGGCACTGGACTTCCATGTGGCCAACCACCATCTGAGTCCTTAACAAAGTGGTTCGCTACCTCACTTTCCTTTTCTCTCTCTCTCTCTCTCTCTAGTTAAATTAAAGAATGATAATAAAAGAGATCAGCAGATGGCATAATGGTTATGTTGCTGGACTACCATGTAGTCAACGGTGGTTCAAGTCCCAGACCTGGCGACTTAAAATTGACACCAGGCATGTGTGAGCGCATTCCCAAGATCCTGAAAGAAGGGAGAAGAGACTGCAGAATGGCAATCCCCCCTGGGGGGTGACTTCTCGCTTTCTGTCTCTCCGGCGAGCGCATGTGTCCTATAGCCAAAGAAGAATTTTTTTTAATAATAAAATAATGATATAAAAATTAAATAAATAAATAAATAAATTTTTAAAGAAATACAGACCAGGCAAGTGTGTTTGACCAAAATCTCAAGAGGAGAATGATAGAATAGAGATTGTGCCTTAGCCATCCTTCCTGGCAGTGATTTCTCACCTTCCCTTACTCTCTGGCAAGTGCACACATTCTATAGCAAACTAAAAGTATTAAAAAACAATTTTGGGAACCAGCAGTTAGCGTAATGGCTATGTCACTGGACTCCCACGTATTCGACCACGGTTCGCGTCCCGGACCCGGTGGCTTAAAACTCACGCCGGGCGCGTGTGCGTGCGTGCCCAAGATCCCGAGAGGAGAATGGAGGAGAAGGGACTGCGGTGTGACCATCCCCCCTGGGGGGTGATTTCTCGCTTTCTGTCTCTATGTCTCTCTCTGTCTGTCTGGGGAGCGCACGCGCCCTACAGTGAAAATCTCTCCAAAAAAAAAAAAAAAAAAAAAAAAAAAATTTTAAGGGATCAGCAGATAGTGTAATGGTTACATTGCCCAATTCCCACAGTCGACTGCAGTTCAAGTCCTGGACCCAACGGCTTAAAACTCACGCTGGGTGCATGTGCGTGAGTGCCTAAGTTCCCAAGTGGAGAATGGAGGAGAAGGGAGAACAGTGTAGCCATCCTCACCAGGGGATGATTTCTCACTTCCTGTCTCTCTAGCGAGCACATGCACCCTATTGCAAAAAATAAAAAAATAAGTAAGATGAATTAAAAAATGTACCTGTTATATCATGTGTCAAAGGTTCATCTATAGTTTCCAATAACTGAACTGAAGACTGCTGAAGGGAGTCGTCAGAGTCACCAGCCGTTGCGCCTACATCGTCAACCACTGTTCCTTCCTCCATGGCTTCTGCAGCTACTGGAGCCAACAATTCTCCTGTATATAAGAAGATAGTCTTAATTACTGTAATAATTAACATAGACTTCTGACACGTATTAAATTATATTTTTACATCTAAAGAGTAACTGAATATAGCTCTACCAACTATAAAAGAACCTGAGGTGAATGAGTCCAAACCTACTTAAGAAAAGCTAGAATAAACTGAATTATCTTCAAATGACAAAGACGAATAGCAGAAAGCTAGTAGCAAAATACACAAAATGCTTAGCATCTACAAGGGGTTATTATAATTATTTACACAAAAGAGGTATTCAAAAAGTTCATGCAAAGTGACTAGTTATTCATGGATATCAAAAATTTTTTGGAGCAAAATAAACTTTTAATCTGGTATAACAATTCTGAACAGGATGCAGTCTGATGCACTAAGAAAGGTACGATATCAGTCCCTGGAAGAGTAGAATGAATTCTGCTCAAATTAAAGCACAAAAACCGTAACATTTATGGCTAAGTAAATGGTGAAATCACTGATGCATTATAAAAAGATGATAGGGATAATGCCCTAAAGAAGTCAACAATTTACAAATGAGTAATTCAATGGTTTAGGTAATGGTATATGCCAAAAATGTTCATGATTTAAAATTTGCACTTGACTATAATGGTACTGGGAGGCTGGAGGTCTTTATGAGCTAAGGCCTAGATAATGGTGATCACATCATGGAGGAAGTACTGTAAGGTATGAATTAAGATCCACAGAATGTTTTTAATTCATCATCGCTGTTTTTTTTTTTTTTTATTTGAACAAAAAGAGACAGAGAGAGAGGGAAAGTGAGAAAGCCACCCACCAGGTCCAAGACTCAAACTGCGGTCGGCCATGTGGGAATGCAGTGCCCTAAACACAATACCACCCACTGGCACTAAGACCCAGTGAATTCTCACTCACATAGACAGAGCTAATTCTTGCAAGAGCAAGTTGTTATAAAAGGAAAATAGCCACCTCCAGGTGTGCCTTTGTCTATCAGCACACACACACCCTCATTCTTCTCTCTTACTTCTGTCAGTCTTGTTGTGACATAGGCTGGCCCGATGCCAGCCCTGCACCTTTGGGTTTTCAGTCACCAAAATAATAAGTCAAATAAACCTCTGTCTCTTGATAAAACACAGTTTTAGTTATTTCTGTTGCAGTGCAATAGAGGACTAAGATAACTTGTTTTAAAAACAACTAAAACCAGCTGGCCTTACAGCACAGTGGCTAAGTGCTATGTGGGGGGAACAACACGACAGACTAGGGTTCAAATGAAGTTCTAGCAGCTTGAAAAACATGCCAGGTGTGTGTACATGCATGCCCAAAATCCTAATGGGTACATGTAATGAAGGAAAATGGATTGGGCACGACAATGCCCCAATGGAAAGGTCTTGCTTTCTTTCCCTTGAATTCATGTACTCTCTCACAATTAAAAAAAAAAAAAAGGAACAAGATGATATTGAAGATAACCTCCACAACTGCAAAACATGCACATCAATTAGCACCAAAAAAATAAATCTGGATTGTGACCCAACTAAAGACCAATGATTGATGGCAGGAACAATAGTCAACACTATACATATCTCAACTGGTTTAGCTTATACAATTCTGACTGAAAAATTAAAGTTGGGCAAACTTTCTGTTAGATGGAGACCAAAATGCTGTGTCTAGATCAGCTGCAGAGTTTTCAATGAAAATTAACTACGTGGGATCAAGATTCTGAACTACTTCTTTGAAGAACAGTAACAGGAAATGACATGAGGATTTATCAGTACAATGCTGCAGACAAAACACAATCAACGCAATTGCCATAACAAGTAAAAGCAGTCCAACGAAAGTAAAGTAGATCCAGCAAGAGTCAAGGTCATGGCAACAGTTTGGGAGAATGCTGAAGGCATTTAGCTTGTTGACTTTCTAGGGGGTGGGGTGTCAGTGAACATCTCCTTATGGTGAGTGTTTTCAAAAAGTCAGACAAAGCCTTAGCAGAAAAGTGCTGTGAGAGCTTTACCAGAGAGTTTCTCACCACAGCAATCCTCTTGCTATTTTCACTCATGATGTAAGGGCAATTTTGTGAAGAGTTTTAATGAGAAATCATTAGGCATCAACCATAAATTGTTAACTTGGTTCCTTCCGACCTTTTGTATCCTAATCTTAAAACTCTCTTTATAGGGCACCAATATTTCTTCAGTAAAAAAGGGACCAGCAGTTAGCGTAATAATGGCAATGTCGCTGGACTCCCATGTAGTAGACCGTGGTCAAGTTCTGGACCCGGTGGCTTAAACTCACACCAGGTGCGTGTGCGTGCATGCCCAAGATCCCGAGAGGAGAATGGAGGAGAAGGGATTGCAGTATGGCCCCCCCCCGGGGGGGGTGATTTCTTGCTTTCTGTCTCTCTGCATCTCTCTGTCTGGCAAGCGCATGCACCCTATAGCAAAAACATCTCAAAAAAAAAAACAAAAAAAAAGTAGAAAAGACTGCAATGACAAGATAAACTACCCAACACCCTCAGTTCTTTGGGGACACAATAAATAACTGGTATCATCATTTATAGAAATAGCTTGAATGCAAAGGGGCTTAAGTTGAGAAATGAAGTTCAAAATTTTTAGTTTCATAAATGAATTCAATTTAACTCAATTTGATTTTTCATGAACTCCTTGCAAAACCCATAAATAAGTACAATCACTTATGCATCAAAACAACCTTTAAAGAAAGGTACTTTTATTATGCTTATTTAACAGAAGAAGAAACTGATGCATATTGACTTCTTTAAGGTCACATGATGAACCAGTAAGAAGCATAATGCTAATAATAATGAAGCTATCTCCAATAAATATGCATGTTAACAACCTAACTCCTCTCTAAAGGCTTTCATTAATCATGACTGTCATCCTAATTAAAGACAAATCTGAGAACCAGCAGTTAACATAATGGCTATGTCGCTGGACTCCCACGTAGTCGACCGCAGTTCGCGTCCCGGACCCAGTAGCTTAAAAAAAAACTCACGCCAGGCACGTGTGTGTGTGTTCAAGATCCCGAGAGGAGAATGGAGGAGAAGGGATTGCGGCGTGACCATCCCTCCAGGGGGTGATTTCTCGCTTTCTATCTCTATGTCTCTCTCTGTCTGTCTGGTGAGCGCACGCGCCCTATAGCAAAAATCTCTCCAAAAAATAAATAAATAAATAAATTAAATTAAGACGAATCTAATTCTAAATGGCTTCTACTGCTCTTAATATTAAAAAGACCTTTTATTGGGGACCAGCAGATGGCATAATGGTTACATCACTGGACTCCCATATAATTGACCGCGGTTCAAGTCTCAGACCCAGC